GCACGCAGCAGAATTGAATATATACGAACACACGTAGATTTCCTCTCACGCTTCAAATTAGTTAAGCGCGTGCTAAGCGGAAACAATTTCATTTTATTTATTATTTCTACGTGGCCTGTGGAGACTACAGGGGGAAGATTGGCTTTCTGATTAACATAACGCTTTAGCGGAACATAAACGAAAACCCAGTGAAATCTCACGTTCCGTGAAATAAAACTTTGAAAGTTAGTAATCGGTATGTTAAACCTTTCGGGTATCTGTAAATTGGAAGGCGCACGAAATTGACATCGGCCAATCGAGAAAAGGCGCATAAAATGAACTACGGTGGGTTGCATTATATGGTTCTGTAAAGAGGGAGCAGACGAGTTGTCATTAACATGTTCGACGTGATAATATGAAGAAAGCTCACAGAAATACATTCACAAAACCGACAGCCAACATATCGGTAAAGTAAGTACTGAGAACTGTTACGTAACTGAACTTTTTAGATGTCAGGCTCCCTGGTTCATAAACACCTTTCGTCAACATGGAAGTTTCTTTAATATCAATCTCAAGGGCAAGACCAAGGTCGCTAAACTCGTCAAGCACAACTTTGTGCCCGAAGTTTGCGGAACGCGCTAATTGGACTCTCGCGACGCTGACGTCGCGCCGAGCGAGGTGTCAATCATTCGAACGCTCATTTCTTCGAGAGAGGCAGAATGTTGCAAAGTTCATCGAGGCGCGCGTGCGGCGCGTGAGGGGCGCGAGGAGCCCGCTGTTTGAACGGCTTCGCCGATGACGTAGCGCCCATTTGTCCCTACATCCCTACGCCAAGCTAAAATTAATGCTTTGCAGATTGCCCCTAGGCGACCTGCTGACGCTCAATATCCCTCCGAAGTTTGTGTAAAAAAGAAACCTCATTTGTCGAAGCTGTCGCTGACGTCAAAGTGACGTTTCCGAACTTTGCGAGAGCCGTGGTTTGAGCTCGAGATCTTCGCTTCGGATCGAGGCGAAGTTAAACTTTGTCAACATGGCGGTGCCGTACGCTGCGGCCGAGCTTATCTCCCGCCACCGTCGGCGTCGCTACTGAGACCACCGGGGACGCCCTTCAACTCCCCGATGACGACTTTCGGCGACAGTACCGGCTACCGAAAGCCGTTGTGCGTTGACTCTGCGACGAGCTTCGTTCGGCGCCCGGACTTCGAGGCTGCGGAAAATCGCGTCTACCATGACCGTAGAACAACAAGTTCTCTGCGTGCTCCGGTTCTTCGGAGCCGGTAGCTTTCAAGGCATAGTGGCGACTGACGAGCAGCTGTCAGTCTCCCACATGACTGTGAGCCTGGCTGTCAGAGTTGCTGCGGCTGCTATCGTTTTTTGTTTTTTTTTTGTAATATCCGAAGAGGTATTAATAAACTGGTATACAATTCAGAATGTTGGGAAACAAACAAGAACCGGGGTAATTCTTGGGTAGGGTCGAGTCTCCCGGCAGCCGTCAGAATTATTTCCCCGAAATTCTACTGGCAGTCGTCACTCATTGGCGGTCCAGTTCATCGAACGACGTGTCATCGACGGATCGTTTCATCGGCACGCGATGTAATCACATGAAAGAGATATTCTTCCGTTAGAGTTATATACACATTAAACATTTTCACACCTTTATACATGTAAGTTCGGTGTCCCATAACAAACACCCTAAAGGCCTGTTCACACATGCAGCGGAGCGCTACAAGCATAGCGCTTACCTCGCGCTAAGCGCGTGCTGACGGGAGCGTTCAGCAGCTTTGTATCCCACCGTCAAAACTGTTGCTCATGGCTGACGATAAGTAGCTGACGGCACGTGAGGAGCGCTACATCAGCGCTTCGCTGCATGTGAGAACCGGCCTTAATAAGTGTAGCGATGGACCTTATAAAAAAAAATTTAAACCTCACACCTTTAAAAATGTGTGATTTTTAAACACGTTTCTTAAAACGTGTGATAATGCGCTACACCTTTTTATAAAGATGTAAAACTGCAATACCCCTTCTCGTCAGGCTATACATTTAAGTGGGGTGTCCCAGAACTAACACCCTAATAAGTTTAACAATAGACGTTATAAAAAAAATGTAAACCTCATACCTTTAAAAATGTGTGATTTTTTAAGCGTTCCTTAAAACGCGTGATAATGCACTACAGCTTTCTATAAAGATGTAAAACTACAATATCACTTCTCGTGAGGCACGTAGCCAGGGGGGAGGGGGTGCATAAGGCCCCCCCCCCCCCCCAATCTTCGATTTTGCTGGAGCCTCCTCTCCCCCTCGCCCTCATAAAGCACTTTGTCATAGGCGCCCCCCCCCCCCCCCCCCCCCCCCCCCCCCCATCTTTATACAAAATTCTGGCTACGTGTCTGCTTCTCGTCAAGGTGTAATTACCACAGTACCTTCCTTTTTTGGGGTGTACACAGTGGCTCGGGACCGAATAATATGACTGAACAAATAAATTACACAAACGAGTCGCCGAAACAGCACGCTGCTTCTTGGCGAGTGTCGAGGCAATATCGGCCGAAAACCGGCTTCAATATAGGCCGGATGTACGATTTTGCGCCTCGTCCCGACATCCGGCAGGTATGGGTGTACCGATGCAAATAAACGATTTATGTCTAATAGCACTGGCACCACTGATCTCTTAGGAGTCTAGATCGCGGATAGAGGCCTGTATTGCTGGGGTCGAGCGGCACCACCGGCAGTCATCGCTTGACACGATCTAATGCATGCTATAGGAGAAACGGGAAAACTCAATTTTATTACGTTAGTAGGTTGTTCTCTACCATGAAACTTCTATTGTGTTTCCGCAAATAACAGTTAATATTGTAGGCAAGAATATTAAACGCGTTAGAATACCAATCTTGTTCAACTAAATGTTGTGTGGTTAGGGGGTCGAGGGAGACTTTGTTGGGCGTTCACTGTGATGTGTTTAATGAGACAAGGGCTACCGAGAGTTATTGTGGAGCCATCCGTGATTCCGGAGTCATTAAAGCTCAGCAAACGATAAGTTAGAAGACCTTTACTGGGTGACATTCGCATCATTTTAACCGCTTGTACATAGTACTTCATGGTGAAAGCTTTTTCTTTGAACTGCTGTGAGGGCTTCCGTGACAAACTATAACTCGGAGCGTGCCGTTCAGTCGCTGAACGTGCCATTTGTTTTGCAACTAAAGCAAGCGTTGTCGGTTAAGTCAATGGTGCTCCGGCCGATTTGTTTTTTTTTAAATCGATGTTCGAACGCTTGACGAATGTCTATTGGATCTCCAAGAACCCGACATATTCATCGCAGCACGTCCTAAAATGCTCGCCCTCGAGCACCGTGTAAAAGCTTCCAATGTTTGCGTGTTTCTCCCTTAGACTTGCGTGTATTGCCTCATGTGCAATAGGCCAAAACAACAAGGACGAAAACGAAGGGAGAACTAGACAGGACGCGGCGTATTGCCGGTCGTCAAGCAATGGCCGCCGGTGAGGCCAGTGACGGGCTCCCGATTCGCGATCCAGACATGCACTGTGAGAGCTCTAATGCATCACACCCGCGGAGTGCTTCACGGAGAACAGGCGCCGAACGAACTTGCTGAATGCACCGAGTGCAGACTGATGCTGTCGCCATAGATGTTGTAGAAAAGTACCGACCTCAAACCGAAACTCGCGCCTTTTTGTTCGACGTGATGGGTGGGAATGCGAGAGTGCCCCCAGTCGCTGCCATCGTTTATCTATAAACGTTGGTTGGTGCAACGTGGAACTTACATCTGCGATGACTTCCAATTAAGCAAATCGGCTGTCAGAGATATCTACAGACGGCGTAAGTTTCCGAAACCAGCTGACTACAAAACAGCATACACTTGAGAAAATTGATGGCACTGTACGCGCAAGAGCTTGCTTCGTTTTAAGCATAGTATTATGAGTGAACCACTGAAAGGATACGGCTTAAATCTAGTTCTTTGGAACATCTAGCAATACGTTTCGTAAGACTTTTTATTTCCCTGGTGAGGGCATTGAGAACGAGAGCTTTCTCAAAACAAAATATGACGGGGCAAGATAGCTGCCGTTCAAATATGACTTTGCTTGAGTCTCGGGCAACGTCTCCATGTTTAGCCTTCCCGGACGCTGAGTGAATGAGTGAATGCGTCAAAGGTTTCTGCTGTGGGAGCTTTGTCGAAAAATGTTCTACTTTTCACCCCTACACAAATGATGCTAGATCTTGCGGCCTCTGTGGTTGCCCTGACCCTTTCATTACACATTGGTAGGTTTCAGCGTCTGTACGGCTACAAAACGATTCAAATTTTGCAAATAAAACACGGGCCGTCGATTCCTCCCTTCGTGAAATATCAGACGCTTACAATTCAAGCTCGCGTTTGAGTGTGGCCCGCGGGACGCGATTTCGAGCAGAAAACTAACTTTCTCGTTCAGTTCCGCTGTGCGAATGCCGCATCGTAGCAGACGAACTCTCGTCGTCTGCTCTCACTTCTTGCCTGGGCGAGGCATGGCGGGATTGTCGGCACTAGAGAGCTTAAAGACAACGTACAGCGAGCGGTGTGAACGCTCGCCTCCCCGCACTGTCTCGTGCTCTCGTGCACCGCCTAGGGATCGCGGGGGATTTTTCGTCAAAAGTTGCGAAGTTGAGCGCGCGCAGGGAGGAGGAAACTTTGCGGCGTTCTTTTGGTCACTCCCCCCGCTACGTCAAAAAGCGAAGAATGTTTTGCTCCACGAGTTTAGCTACACAAATGTCAAAATCATTGACGACTGATCCATACATACGCACGTGCAGCGAGCGATTCAATGATCGGATTATTTAATGTCCAAATAACGCGCTGTTTCAATAATCTAAAAATGTTTACATTCATCCGTAACATGTATATATTTTTATGTTGCGTCGTTTGTTTTTAATTTTTACCCTTAAAAATCTAACGCTCCTAGTTTAAAAAAAAATTAAAAAAAAAAACACTTGGAAAAGTATACGAGTGTGACGAGGGGATTCTGTGAATTTCCGAAGCACTTACCCCACTGAGCCGAGAAGGTGCATAAGAAGATCACTGTAACTGTTCCGTACCAGATTCTGACAGCCATTTTTGCGGTATACATTGACGGATTTTGGTTCTTATACAGCACGAAACCGACTGGCGCTTAATATACGCGTTTGCCATGGCGGCAAGTACCCTACTCAAACACGATAAAGACCGTATACCACTTCCCGGATGTTCGTCGTTCGCATGACTGTGACAGGAAGAACTGAGTGAGAAAGAAGCTATAAAGAGGATCTCGAATGCGCAATGTCGGATGCAGAACTGAGCGATTAAAGATTTCGATGACGGATGTTACATCTCCGCTTGCCAATCAGTTGCGAGCTTTGTTGCCCGACTCCAACGCTGATTCACACTTCCGCGTTTGAGCGCGTGACCAACAGCATTACAACGGCTTGTGACTGCTTACTGCGGATAGATGAAGGGGGCTGAACTTTTGTAATCGGGCGTTGCCTTGAGCCACCTATAGCCACCAAGCCACAACTTTATAAAAAATGAATGTATTAAGTCTTTTAGCACCATACTTGTAATTTTGAAATTCATAGAGCCAGGTAAAAGAGATGACACATATCGAGGAGCCCTGGCCAAACTGGAGTCAACTTGCATTTCCTGGTCTTTTTTGCGTTTTACGCGTCCTTCGTTAAAGCCAGTGTCAAACTGCTCATACATCCTACAAAGGGCAGTCAACAAACACGAATCACCGCGGTATCAATGGTTCGGATGCCGCGTGTCGAGATTCTCCTTGAATTCGTTGATACGCGGCATTCGAAGCACATATCTCGTGGTGAATCGCGCTCGATTCTAAGGGCAGACTGTCTCTTGTATCATGTACAAGCAGGGTAACACCGTCTTTAAACGCGGGCTCGAAATAATTCTAACAATGTGATAGGCGACTATTCGCGATTCCAACTAGCTATAGGTGGCGCCACTCATTTTCCAAAATGGCGGTTATAGTGAGGGTCGGACATGCGTGCCGCTGTTGAGCCCATAGAGATCATACATACTAACTCTAGAGGAAAAGGTCCGCCATTTTCCCATACATTCTGGCTGCCGCAAGCGGCGGATCATGCAGGCAGACCCTCGGGGTCCCAAACACGGTTACATCATCAGAGCAGTTTCGTGAACTTCAACAATCCACGAACTTACCGGTGGAAAGATATTCGGGTTCCTTTCGAAGCTTTCTTTTTGCATAGCGCGCAGACATACGCGAGTGGGCGGAATCAAAAGGAAGGATGCCCTTCCTAGTTCGAGGCGAGTACTTCCAACAAACATGGTCCCCAAAAAAAACGACAGCTCTAGGTCCAAGAATTGCAGTTTGCTTTCTTTTTGTAACTCATGCGTGAATGTCAACCCAGAGCAACACAATTTAAACACGTCTAGCAACTGAGGGACTTCACTGCAAGGGGGCCCCGCCGAGCGGCTAAGGATGAGGAAATCGTCGACGTATCTGAAGATCTTCACATTGTCATCGTTCGAAATGTTCAAAGCGATGTTTTTTCCACAGCTGCCTAGAAAAAGTCACACAAAACAGGTACAACACTGGACCCGATGCAAAAACGCCTTTTTTTTGCACATAAAGACCCCCCCTCGAATGACGCAAACGTATGTTTTAAGTAAAAAACCAGGAGCTCAAGAAAGCTATCAACACTGATGCCCGAAGAATTCTGGAAAGCGACAACTCCGTTCTGGTCTATGCATTGTCTCACCGCCGAGAATAGGGGTTCATGAGGAATCGAGTAAAATAAATCCTCGACGTCGATGGAAAACCCACTGCGCATGCACTGGCCCCCTTGCCTCAAAAATTCAATGACACATTCTGAATTTCGCACTATGAACGGATCATGCAACTCAAGCGCGCACAAATGTTTGCGCAGGAAATTACCCATGTGAAACTGCCAAGCGCCTCTTTCTGTAACAATGGCCCTAAAGGGAACTTCAGGCTTATGTGTTTTAGCAGTAAAGAATATGTCGAGGTTCAATTTCTTGCTCGACTTCACGCTCTTTAGCAACCCCGATAGTTCCAATTTGCTGCATAAGTCCTGGGCCCGAGATTTCACCTTTGACAAGGGTCCCGGAGAGACTCGCTTGAAATTCTTGTCGATGGCCTGGCTTGCCTTCGCACCGTACAGAGCGGACGGAGCAACGATGGATCCTCCTTCCTTGTCAGCAGTAACCAGCTTGAGGTTGTGTTCCGAAATGTAGGTGACGATGTAGCTGGTCTTGAAGCTTCTCGTTGATTGGCCAGCGGTGCGTTGGAGAACGTCCACGCCGTCGGCCACGCATCGTTCTTGGTGCTCAGGCACAGCCAAGCCGCCCATCCATCTCACCAAGGACAGCTTTGTGACGGGGCACAATCTCGGTTCCTGGCTAAACTTTGGTCCGTGGTCTAAGGCAGACTTGATGTCTGGTGGTAAAGTGGCTACTCCAAGAATGGTGACACCCTCTTGCTTCTTGACGCTGGCGGCACTCTTCTTCACCAGCGAAGTCCGGACTTGCTCCCAAAGGACATCTGTGTATTGTGCCGCTGTTCGAAGGTGTTTTCTGAAGGCTTGTTCCGCAGCGTGTGTCCCGGCACCAGAAGAATAGCACGTGATCTTCAAGCAATCCCTGTACCTCTCAACTTGTTCCAGGTCTCAGACCTGGAACAACAACCTCCGTGAGAATGTTCCAGAATATGGTTGTGATAAAATGCGAAAGTTGAAGGTTATGACGTTTCCCGTGGATCAAGTGATGCGGGGGAAAAAAAATTACAGGAGGACACTTAAGACTGTTTACGTGAAGGAATGCGAAATCATTCCTACACGCAGCGCATTCCTGCAAGCAGCCTGCCACGTCTTACTATCGAACACGGCGCTCCGGCGGCGACATCCTGCACGCTACCCCACTGCGCAGGCGCAGCGATCCCCGCCGGCTTCACGCCTTCCGTGACGATGCATCTGCGTTGCTGTGCTTTTCTTTGTGTGTTATTCCCGAGGCTCGTCCGCTTTGACCTTGAGCGCTCCGCCTACTTCCGTGAAGAAGCATCTGATATCGCGTGTCGCAGCCAATGGAATTTAGGTGTCATTTCGTTGCTACAGACACCGGCTTCGCTTTATGGGACAGTTAATACTTTCGCTTTAAACCTTTTCTCTAGGCGCCGACATCCATATTTATGCAGCCCAAATATGACATTATGCGTGCCTATAGCGTTAAAAGCTATAAAAAACGAAACATTTTATCAGCGAGAAAGAACATATTGTTTTATTCCTGTCTTAACACGTGTTCTGAGGAAAACAAATGCTACAGGCGCCCACAAGGGCATTTATTACTGTGATGAATATTAGGCGTAGGGGGACCTCGGCTCATTGAGAAATTTTGTTTTTTTCTCGTATCCTTCGATCCAGGTAACCTCACGTTCTCCAACTTTCGCATTTTGTCCCCACCACCCTAGCGCCGCGTTCTCAAAGTATTTTCATCTTTCTGCGACGCGCAGTTTATTTGTACGGGCCAAAAAAAAAAAAATAACAAACGCACTCTGGTCGATTTGGGCCATGTAGATGATTGTGACATATTTGAATCGCATAAGAAATGATCTTAGGGACAAAGTAGGCCGGAGGTTAACCGTCTGGAGCATTTATTTTCGTAAAGGGAAGAGCGAAATGCATAAGGCAACCCATTTCAGCAAAATCTTCGGGCTCGTGGTGATGCCGCCGTTCCCGTCGTTGCAGTCGATACTGCTGCAATTCTTCAAGTCAAGAGGAGTGGTGATGCCACCGTTCCCGTCGTTGCCGTCGATTCTGCTGCAATTCTTCAAGTCAAGATGAATGTTGAACGAGTCGTGCATGGCTTTCATCGCAGGACTGTCTCGAGTACACTTTGTTGTCGCATTCAGGAAGCAATTATAACGGCCAGTACTGCGAGAAATGAGAAGTGAATAGGAGCGGACAATTATGGAAGGGAACCTCTCACAGATTTATGAACCTAACCACTTTAAACATCGTGAATATTTCATCCGAGATATGATGGTTTCAGATTGCGTTGCCTCAAACAGTATTTGGATTTTGGTGATATAAGTCAAAACTTACAACTTACCCGTCTCTATTAAAACCTAGCCATCTCTATCAAAAGCGATTAAGAATATGATTCCAAAGTAAACTTTTCATTATTTTGTCTTTTTCTTCATTCAAATTTATGTTGTATGGCTTTTTAACGGAATCCCCTACCCCAAACACTTGTCCATCCGTCCGATTGTTCATTAGTTTGCGTATTTTAACGCTTTATTTAGCGGGAAAAGTAACGTCACAAAACATTTTGATGTCACTGGGCATCACGACCTGACTCCGCGACTTTGTGTGACCTGAGATCACGTGACCAGAGGTCACGTGATGAAATTTTTTGTTAAATCTAGAGGGAAAATTGATGTCACGTGATCTGACATCACGTGACATTAAGTCAGGTTACGTCAACTTTTACGCTATATTCAGTTAAGCCATTAATACACTATACACTAAGAAGAAATTTCTTAGTGTCTTAGCAAATTAACAATAAATTGTTCTTTAAATAAAGCAGTACAGGCATTGTAAGGCTTCAGAGATAAAGGCCACAAATAATTATTGTTATTTTAGTGCAGGCAATAATTACCTATTAATATGTGCCAAAGATATCCTGTCAAGGTCAAGACTCACGGAGCCTTAAAGCAAAATTCTACTAGCTTAAAAAAAATATTATTCTGAAAAAGTTTACTGACTCGTTTCCTATCTCATATTCATCTAATAGTGGTAAGCTTGTTTAACCAAAAAGAGCCACTGATGCACCCTTCTGCTGACTCATTATATTATATCTGAAAACAAATTTAGCTGATAATAAAAATTTAAAAAGGGTCTTGTTCTTAAACATTCTTTACCGCGTGAGCTAGCGCTTGACAGAATAAAAAACAGTTATTGTATATATATATATATATATATATATATATATATATATATATATATATATATATATATATATATATATATATATATATATATATATAGTACCAAATTTGTCTTCTCTATCTCTTTCTGGTATTTAGCTGGAATATTCTCATTAAACGAATTTCAAAAACTCTGTACAACAGGTTTATGCATACGTAGTTCTTAGTCATTACAACTGAACTTAGTTTAAGCATTAAACCGCTCATCGTGCAGTCGCCACCTTAAATCGCTCCTATTTTAGTTGTCGTTACCTGCAGAGGTCTTGAGGCAGAAGCTCCAAGCAGGATTGGGAGGCACTTTTGTTCAGGCACTGATTCCACTCAAGTATACCTAGAAATGCGAGAATTGTTCAAGCTAATTACAGACATTCTTTTTTTCTAATAAACATTCTTGCGCGAAGAAGCTCCCCATTTGCCACTCGGAGGGCACTGTAGCTTATGAGAGAGAGAGCATGTTAAAAAACAGCGCGATGGGGACGAGGACAAACAGGGAAGAAGGGAACACAAGACAAAGCGCTGTTTTTTCCCTTCATCCCTGTTTGTCCTCGTCCCAATCGCGCTGTTTTTCAACATGAACTCTCACCAACTCGCCCAGTTATAGAGAGAGAGTTTCATGAGTAAACAGCCTGCGAGCAAGAAGGTGCGACTCCCGATTTTAATATTTCTCGTGAACAATTGAATCGCTTTTGTCAAAACTTGTCATATTGTTTAGAGTGCTTATGTGGAGCTTCAACCTAAGCGATAAAACATTGGCGCACGTTGATACCCTGTCTCGGTAAATAGCGGAAAGCGTCGATGTCGTGTTCGAGCTACTTCGTGTAACGTACTGTGCTCACGTAATTTATGCGTGGCTTGCACGTGACGTTACTGCACCATACTGGTGGTAATTTCTTCGTTTTCTTATCTAAGTGAACAAATTCGGTGGCGCAAAGTGTATACTGCAATGTACGTGGTCAGCAGGAAGGTTACCACAATGGACCGCAATATGACATCAATGCAAGGCATGTGTGCGGAACGTACTAAACCCTCTGACGCGTGACAAAAAAAAAAGAAAAAAAAAGGCAAAGCTGGGTTATGATTCGGACATCCCGTAGCGTAAAGCGGTAATATACAAAGCCATGCCCTCAATTTCTTAGGCTGTCTGCGTCTATAAATGTGTACAATCTCGGGGGGGGGGGGGGGGGGTTCTCGTGGCGGCGGCCGGAAACCGACTGGAGACAGCAGCAGTTTTTCTGGTCAAGCCAACAACATTTGAAGAAATCGAAAACCTGTGCAAAGGGTTTTTGAGGTCAAGCGAAGACGCTGATTGGATACGAGCATTGCGCCAGCGTTCGGATGTGCTTCGTATCCAATCAACGCGTCGAAGGACACTCGACGTCAGGCTCGGGCCCGATTGCGAAGTCGGCGCCATCCGGGTGCAATGACGTTGCATGGAAGTAGAGAAGGGTTTCCACAGGTATTGATTATTCTACACTTCGTTTCGCTCTAAGTCCGACCGCATTCGACGCTACCGCCTGGTGGAGCCAATCAAGTAACCGACAAAAGTTCACATTTCGCGCTGATACCAAACCGTAATGACGCAGCTTGCTATAACCGCAAAGATTTAATTGTAACAGTTGTGCACGAGTGCTAACCAAGGGCTGATATCAAAACGAAACGTACGGACCCTAATACACTTTGAGAAGATGAACTCACTGGTATGAAGGTGTGGGTCGCACAAGTGTGAACGGAGTGAAGCAAAATCACTTTTCAGATATTGGAACCTTTGCTTTAGGTCGTCCGAGCATCCTCCAATCTCCGTGTATTTTGTGCAAGAATCGACGGACTTCGAAACCCTGAAAACATCGGTCAATTTAGTCACAGCACATATGAACAAGTGTAACTTCTTTACGTTCTGACGAGCGCGATGACTAAGTTACGATTTCTGGCACACCAAAATTCAACGTCAGTTTTAAAGAAGGCAATCTGTGGCATCTTGAGAAGGATAATTTGGAGTCCGGAACAGGAGACATCAGTGAAGCATATAATCAATAAAACACACACTGGCACTTACAAAAGTTCCTGTATTCACATTTCTAAAAGTGACACAACGAAGAGTGTTACTTATAGCTTTTTTCCAAATATGTTTCGTCATTGGTTTTCGAGGTTTTTTATACGTGTGTGCGGCAGAAATATTTTAGCAGTTGTGCTTTCCAGTCATTCCTTGAAACACTTGTTCAAGTCATATCGATAGCTGCTCACTTCTATGAGAATATGAATTTATTTATAGATACTCACACCCTCATATCAATGAAATATATTGTAAAGAAAGAAACGGCAAGGTGATCGAATTATGACATTTAACAATTTTACACCCTCTTTACAATCTAATAATGACACGAAGGCACACATACACACAAAACAAAATTAAACAGTTTACATTGAAAAGAAATTCCGTCAATTAAGTAGTCAACAGAGTCTTAATTTGTTAGCGATGCAGGCAATTTCTTCGATTTAACAACGGATCGAGGAAAGATGACTACTTGAATGTGTCTAGTCGTACTTAATACTCCAGTTGATGAATGCGCATGACAAGAGCGGGTATTTAGGCGACTGAGAAGCTGATATATTTTGTACTATCAACGTTGAGTTTTCCTTAAATCATTAGAAACAAAATCTTCGCTCTGTGTTGCCGCGCTCCTTCACTCAGCTTGATCAAGTGAAGTGTTGTAGACGTTCTTCAAAAAAAGGAACGAAAGCTCGTTCCTCGTTCCTTCTGATTTTTGGAACGTGTTCCCGTTACCAGTTACATTTGTGAAAAAGGAACTCGTCCCCGTTACAGTTTAAAAACATGGAACGTACCGTTACATATACGTTATATTTGTATTTTGATGATTACCATATTCAATTGAAAAAAACAGAGTTGTTTTTGTTGTTTTTTAATCTATATCATCAAATGGCAACATACGATTTTGAATGCCGTGATGGAAGGACAGGAGATGGAGACAAGCGGAAGCAAGGTTTTATTTATTCATATATTCACGTTTATAAATCTCAGCTTTGGGCCATATTTATCTTTGAGGTGGGTAATTCAGACGAGCCAAATGCACTGTTGCACGCGTGTTTTACAACAATCTCACACGTTTCCATCTAACAAAGTTTCTTGTTCGAACTTAACAACACTTGATTCTCGATGTTTCTGTCCGCAAGAGGAGCAACTGGAGAAGAGGGTAGGGTTTTTGGAAGGCCAGTTTTGAAACCTGCCAGTCCTTCGTGAGGGTTAGATTCATTGTTTTGTTTTAAGGTGGGGGACAACGGGAGAATGAATAAAGGTTAATTTTTGTGTATACTTTGTTTGTTTGTTTGTTTGTTTATTTTGAGTGCCCAAAAACAGCCAAAGCCTATACATTGGTGCACTTGTTAGTAACATTTCAGATAGCATATAAACACAAACAAGAAAAGTATGGTCGCCTCACACACCTCTAAAGAAAAAACACAGGAATTGAATAGTTGCAAAGCATGAACATTATTTCAATACATGAAGCAAGCACTTCCTAAAATGAGGTTGGTTAGGGTTGAAAATGTCAATGCCATCTGATTCCAGATGATTGAAGTAGTTTTGCAGTCGGCCCGAGGGTGACGTAAAGTGACCAATGTTCGGGATACAAGGTTGCCTTGCATGTCTGGTCACCTGTTGTTCTGTTGTCACTTTAGGTCGTTTTCTGAAAATTCATTGATGGCTGTAGTCGGCGTTAGATTTCTGGTGTACGAGGATTCGTCAAAGAAAGTAACTGAGTTTGAGACGTCCCTTTTTCTGTGTATTTTCTTTCGACTAAAAGTTTTGGTTTTTTGTACTGCAGTCTTGGCCAGCGAAACAAATGTATCGATGCCCCTTAGCTTTCCTGCACCCAACTGTTTCCAAGAGAAAACCTCACAAAATAAACCTTAAAGCGCCATTCACACACTTGCAACCAAGTACGACCGAGAGAGACACATCGGTTTTTAAGCCTCTTGAGAGATCTTAGGACCAGCTCCACAGCAGCGGATCCGGTCCTAAGTCGTCGCAACAAGCTTAAAAACCGGTCTTGTCTCGGTCAGTCTGACTCGGTTGCAGGTGTGTGAACGGGCCTTAAAGTGCCCTTCACATACTTGCAACCGAGTACGACTCAGCGAGACAATACCGGTTTTTGAGCCTCTTACGACGGCGTAGAACCAGACGCGCTGCTGTGGAGCAGGTCCTTCGCCGTCATAAGTTGCTTAAAAACAGGTCTTGTCTCTCACGGTCGTACGCGGTTGCACAAGTGTGCCTTAAAGGGGCACTGACACCCCAAAGGTCGTATTTATTTTTATTGTCTAAAACGATGCAAGTTGCAGTCATAGACACGCAAAAAAAACCGCATCGCGAAAAAAAAATTTCCCGCGCGCGCGCGCGCCTTTTTGTTTTTGGCGTTTGATTTTCCCGCCTCTTGCCTCCTCGCTTTTTTTGATCGGTGACGTCAAGAATCATGAAATTTAGAAGCTTTGTAGGCGACATCTCTATAACATTTAATTACGGCAATCCTAAAACATGTTTTTTAACGCAATTGCGAACGCACTACGGCCCTTCTTTTTGAAATACCAAAAATCGGGAGTTCGTTGTGGTGCCGTCTCCTGGATTTGTATCCTCCAACGGGAAACAGGCGAGACCGCTTAAAACCGGTCGCCGGAACGCCGGCGCTGGCTCCTTTCCCCCTCGCTTTGGGTCGCCATGGCAACAGCAGGGAGTGGTGAAAGAAAGGAGACTCTCAGGTCTCCTCAATTTTTGACGTCAAGGCACCGGCGCCGATCGCGCGGGAACTTCGAATTCGGCATTTGGAAATTGTTTTTTTACTTCACAAATACTGAATTCCCAAATTTCAAATTTTGAGGGTAATGTCCCGGCATCGTTTTCAATCGTTTCGGATAATAAAAAAAAATATGATTTTGATGTGTCAGTGCCCCTTTAAGATAAGTAACCAAAAAGTTAACAAAACCCTGCTCTTGGTTTTCTACATTTTAGAATTTCCCTTTTAAAATAAATTGAAAATTATCCCACTGGACGAAAAAAAAAGGACCGCCGTTCCTTCTTCCGTTTCAGTGAAAAAGTAACGCGTTCCCGTTCCACTGATGCAAAATGGAACGCCGTTCCTTAGAACACTGATCAAGTGCCCCTGTCACTCATTGCCGACGGCGAGCTTAGTGTCGTATTTGGTGGGTATAAGCCTGATCGCTTTTTCCTATCGCATTTTCTTAGTGGCGTTGATTTTCATGAATGAGTTTTCCTTTAACTATCTTCCTTATCTTGATTACGAATAATCTAGATCATTAAAAGAAGCCACAAGAATTATATTACCGCAGGGGGTATATATATATATATGCTTGATTACTTGAATAATTAACTTCTCCCTCAATTGTAATTATTTTATTAGTTGATTTTTATATTTCATCTACCGATTACGCTGCGCAATTACGAGTAAAAAAATGGGCGTATACTTTTGCTCGAGTGCCTTTCTGAGAGTATCTGGATCATCTTTTTTCGGGCTCTCAGTTCTCAAGATGATGCTCCTATCTTCACGATGGAACTTCAAAAACTGTACTCACTTGCAATCTTTAGCGAGCCGTTGTTCCTCTTTACCATCTGGAAATGAGATCTGGTTCATGGCCCACTTGGAACATCCCCAATATCTTTCGGCATCGCAGGGTTGTTTTCCCGACGAACCTTACAAGAGAAAAGTAAAATAAACCTATTGTGACGCTTTCAACGAGTAATATTTTCCGGTATTGCTTTTCTAAGGTTGAAGTGGGAGGAATAATACTTTAAACATGCGTATCAACACGAGGAGTCATGTTTAGCCCATGGTCACTGTCAACTAAAGAAACGTAGGGTATGGCTCTCTACATTCGCGCCTATCGCTTCGGGATTGGCTCTTCAGCGGTGGTGCAGGCTAATACCGCAATTTGATTGGCTGATAAGTGATCTCAAGGTACCCGGAACTCGCCACGCCTTGCAATTCTTACGTTGTCAGGGCCCATGGGTTGAGATAAAAGGCATTTGAGAAGTGTGGGGCAAAGCATATGCTAGCGCTCTGATCAGCGATCTAGTGCTCTACGTGTCCTTCTGCAAAAAGAAAAACATAAATTGGGGGACGCTTAAAGGATACATGCAAAAGAACAAAACATTTCTCTTAAACCCCTTGGACGGAAAAAGGGTGTCACAAAATAAGAATAGGAATAGTTATTTTTCCATTAAGTACAAGGACATAATGGAAGGAGACTGAGGAAAAAAGCTGCATTTGTGCAGCTTGACGAGTCACTGACCCCCCTCCCCAAGTGGCAACAGCGGCAGGTCACAAAAGAAATGTATCACTTCATCAACGAACAAACATATAAAAAGACACGGGTCAGTAATTCAATATATAACATTCCAGTGGTGGCAGAGAAATTAGTTCTGTTAAACAGACGGTTTAGTAAAAAAGCAAGAAGTACACATTAAAAGGCTTAGATATATATCGCGACTATGTGTGACAAAGTTGATTTCATAGAAGTGACGCTAGACACAGAATAATGATTAGAAAGAATAAAGCGAACGGATTTTTAACGCCTCCCAACGCGGTGAGGAGAGTGGCTTGTCCGGGATCCCAGACAGAGGCTGCATATTCTAACATCGGTCGAAATAGAGTTTTATTAACAATTAGTTGGAGAGAAACAGGTGTTAATAAAAAGTTACACCTGAGGTATCTTAACATACGGTGAACATTAGAAGTGATATACTGGACATGTGTTTTCCATGAGAGGTTAGAAGTTATATGTGCACCTAAATATTTGTACGAAGATACCGTATCCAGCTGAGCCTGATTAAAAAAAGTAGTTTTGAGTTTCATGCGACTGGCGAGATACATGCACAGATTTATATTTTTAGTATTAAGACTCACAGACCATAGGTCACACCACTGGAAGATAGCATTAATGTCAGACTGCAGCCTGCTGTTATCATGATTATTAAGCATCTCACGGTAAATCACGCAGTCGTCAGCAAATAAACAAAAAGTGGAGGAAGCATTAAAAGGGAGGTCGTTTATATATATATTAAAAAGCAAAGGTCCTAAAACAGATTCTTGGGAAACTATGTTGATTTAACCTGAGACTGGGGTAGAGAAGAAGCATAAAACGTAAAAGGGACAGAAAATACACAGGACGACGTCAGCCATATGCAGCTCTGAGGTTCCACTGGTGGCCAAAGTGTGGCGCCACATGAAGCTTCCTTGCGTCTATCCATAAGTCTTCGTACATCCATTCATTCGTTCCAACCCAGACGTGGTTCTCAGTCCTACCGCCGCAGTTTTGAGCGTCGTGTCGCATAGGTTATCTTCGCCACCATATAATATCAGTCTGCGCGCTTTCAGCCAATCATGGGCGTTCAGGGAGAGATCCGTTATCGACCGTTATTTTTGTTTGATCTTTCGAAGCGCGTGCGGGCGAGTCGGGCGATTGGCGTGCGGCGTACGCGAAACGCTCGAGCGCAACCGAAACCTTCGGCGGTGGGGGTCTGCGCGTTAGATGGTTCTTTCAGCTTTCAGTTCGGCGGGATTGCTGCTGTCTATGGATATTACTGTGCAGCAAAGTGGTGCCAGCATACGACAAAATCCGCTGACTGCAGTTTTTTTTTTTTTTTCGTTTTGCGACGGACGACAGGTGAGACTACAAACTTCGTACGCGCGATATACTGAAAGAAGTGAACGCGTTAAGTTATGCGCGCTATTTTTCTTCTTTTCCGCTTACTTTTTCAAATAGAGCCAGTAAATGGATCTGCTATGCAAATTGCCCAGAGTTCAAGTTGCTGCCATTGAGCAAACTCCGCGAACGTCGTTTCGGAGGCGAACGGCTTGTTTGCTTCTTGCTCGAGGTGTGAGTTTTTTTTATTGACTGTGTGGCAACTTGGTGCATATATTCGTTACTTAAAATCCTGTCAATACTTCCCTGCATATTCTATATTGTCCTTTTAAGGTTGCTCATACTTTGTATAAAAAAGAATTCGAATGCTGTGCACTGGAGTCTTAGTATGCTTTTTCGTGTGATGACTAGTACGGCATTATGGGGTATAAAAGTAATTTATAATTTCTTGTAAATGTTTTATTGAATGTCATGGGTAAGAGCTTAAATAAATGAGAGGTGCTATTTGTGAAAACTGCTTGTTTAACACGTATGTAGTAATAAAGTAAGTATGTAAAATATGTAAATGCTAATTGAAAGAAGGCGAGATGCCAGCGAACGCAATTATTTCTATATGATGTCACATGTTACATGTTTGTGTATTCTCTTGATCTCGCCATAAAGCTGACTTATTCATTGCTTATGTATTCCTGTAAACTTTCTCTCAATTCTGTAAATAGCTAGGCATTTTTAGAACGTGAAATGACTTCAAATAAAATGCGTCTTATTCAATCTTCCGGTTTTATGACGTTTCCTTGGCGAGGTTGTGTGCAGTGTACGCGTGCTTGTTGCTAGGCATCGATAAAAAAAAACAGCAAACACAGATGTCTGTATCAAGCGACGTCCGTGTTTACAGTGTGAAAAAGCGATGCTTTAACACAGACGCACGAGCGCGCGCCGCACGGCAAATCTTAACACGCATCACCACCCATCATCGTACACGCACGCGCGATAAACACACGCCGAAAAATGGATATACTTCGTCTCACCCTAGACTACCCGCGAAGGCTGTGCTAGCGCAAGTGGCTAGCCTTGACTGCCTTGACCAGAGCACTTGCTGCACGAGCGCTCGTTGAAGCCGCCGCGGCTTCATTCACTCTAAAAAAAAAGGGTGTCATGGGGTACACCCATAGGGGGTGTAAGTGCTTGTCACATATACTACACCCTTTGGGGAATACATGTGCACCCCAAATATGGGAGTACTTGTGCACCCGTTTGTGTGGTGCACATGTACAACCTTTTCTACAGAAATCTCACTCGAAGGGAACACAGGTGCACCCCATTCAATGGTGTACGGCTACACCTCTTTCTACACCCAATGAGATGAAAGGGAATACAGATGCACCCCATTCGATGGTGTACCATTGCACCGCTTCATACACCCGCCTCACTCAAAGGGAACACAGATGCACCCCGCTCAATAGTGTACCATTACTCCCCTTTCTACACCTACTGCTCTCAAAGGGAACACAGGAGCACCCCGTTCAATAGTGTACTGTTACACCTCTTCCTACACTCACTGAATTCGGAGAGAACACAGATGCACCCGATTCAAAGGTGCATAGTCACACCACTTTATGCACCCGTTTCATAACTTCATAAACCTATTTAAGACATCAAGGAAAACAGTAAAAAAGGTATGCGCCCCGGTGATTGCAAAAAGGCAGGAAAACGGACACACGGTATTGTTTTCAAATCTCATAAAAGTTTATTAGACGGCCTATTTCGTAAACAAGTACAAACTTGCAAGCAATCCGACATATCTGAAGACGTACAAAGAAGCTGTTACACAACTGAAATGATTACTAAGCAAACAAGAACCGGGGGTGAGTCTTAGGTAGTGTCCATTCTGCCAGCAGCCGTTAAAATTATTTCCACAAAATTCCACCGGCAGTCGCCATTAATTCATCGAACGACGTTTTGTCGACAGCTCAGATTAGCTTTTCTATATTAGCTTCTCTCCTTTCTTTTCTTGTAATGAGCCGCCCCAGAATGTATCCGCGAAGTGACGTGTATGGGTGGCACAGGTGGGTTAACATTTTCGTAATGAGCCGCCGCAGACTGTCGCCACGAAGTATAGCGCGAACGGGTGGGCTGGGTTGGTGAGCACGCGCCTCAGAGATACACGCGCGACAAAATGTCCCTACAGCGTGCATTTTGCGTAACGAGTGACGATGAAACGTTAAGCGCCGTTCACACTCTTGCAACCGAGTACGACCGAGAGAGACGAGACCGGTTTTTAATCCTCTTGCGATTTCTTAGGACCAGCTCCGCAGCAGCGCGAACGGTCCTAAGAAGTCGCAAGAGGCTTAAAAACCGGTCTCGTCTCTCTCGGTCGTACTCAGTCGCAAGAGTGTGAACGGGCCTTTAAGTTCACACTCTTGCGACCGAGTACGACTGAGAAATACCAGACCGGTTTTTAAGCCTCTTGCGATCTCTTAGGGCCAGCTCGGCAGCATTGCATCCGGTCCTAAGAAGTCGCAAAATGCTTAAAAGCCGGTCTGGTCTCTCTCGGTCTTACTCGGTCGCAAGAGTGTGAACGGCGATTTAGTGTCGATGAAACGTGTCTACAAAACGTGTATCGGCAAAAACGTGTTTTCACAAAACGCCAGGAGAATAAGAAAGTCAGTATTCTACCTTCGGTTGTCACATGATTGTAGTCAGCTAATGGCAGGCGACTGCCGATAGAATTTCGGGGAAATTATTCTCCCGGCTGCTAGAAAATAGACACTACCTAATTCTAGAAGTAATCCGGAACGGAACGGTCAATTGTTGCAAAGGAGAAGGTTGCAGAGCACTTACGATGAAAACGCCGGACTCGAAATATGTAATCCGAGATATATGTCGACAAGGGCACTGCAGTGCAGAACAACACAAAAACGAAAGGGAAGGGGTCCGTGATGATCCAACACAATGTAGCAGAAGCAGTAGTTCGCCGAACCGAACACTAAGCTCATCACAAGAATTCCTTGGGCTTTTCTGAAGAACTCGCTTGTTGCCGATATACTCGCAGGACTTTTCAAACACTAAAAATCTTGGCACACTCGAATACATCGTCACGGACGAAATCTACGGCAGCCCCGCTGGTCGCGGCACAGCGCACAAGAAACTAGGCCGGGAAGCACCGAGATCAAAAA